CAACACCACAGATCTATAACGTTCTCCCATCCCAGGGGCAACCGGCCTGCCCTGGCTGTGTAGCTTCTACATACCACAGACAAAAGACAGTGCTACAGGGGTGTTTTTGCACAAATCACACATGCCAATCAGGCTTCAGAAACCTCCCTGGTAGATGGGTCAGGAGCTAGGCTTTACCTGGCCATCACTGAAGGGGAAGCACGAAGGCTGCATGTCACACCTCTGATGCTTCATACCTCTCAGGATCTCTGGCCACCTCCACCTATGCAGCAGCTCCCTTACCTGCCACACCTTCCACTTCCAGCTAGCTGTCTTTGCAGCTCCTCCCTGAGCAGAACAACAGCAGCAGCAATTGATGGCACTGCTGTCTGCTGTTCTGTGACCCACCACCACAAACCTGCTCAGCACACTGATATGTACCACTAAACACCACACCAGCCAAAGTCACAGGCACGGAGCTAGTACCAGCTACCACTACTGCTACTGAAAGTGAGGATATCTGGCAAACAAAGAAAACACCCCAAGTCTGTATGGTTGCCAGAATAAGAGAAAGCAGCACTGTAAAATGACTCCTCAGAACTCAAGGACCACCCTCAGTTCCCAACCTGTGAATCAGTGGTGTGTTGATTATGAATACAGATTTAGATGTCTCACCGCTACAAAAACACACTAGAAAGTATGTAATACGTACAAGAGCTATATGAAGAGGGGCCCAAACCTCTCTTGAAATATCCCCTGCACAAACTCTGAGTACAAGATCATACCTTCAAAGTGTCCCAACCAGATAGAAAGATGTGAAGAGAGGTGAGGAGGTGAAATCTTGGCCTCGATCAGACACAGAAGTCATTGAGCCTGTTGGCCAGTTTTAAGGCAGTCACCTTTCCTTGGTACGTCTATTTTGCCACTCCACAGTGCTGCACACACGCCACGGGCTCAGCTTCCTGACAGAGCATACTACCAAAATCAATGGGGCTGGCTGCATACCTTCACAGCTGCTTGCTGGAGAGGGGCACAAGGAATCAGCCTTCTGCAGCAAGGACAGCTTGTCAGCATGCAGGTGCTCAGCGCAGTGACAGCTCTGGAGTTCCCCAAGATCACAGGCATGGTGGGCAAACAAAACAGCTACCCAGGAAAAGTACTACAGCACCCACACTCTCAGGAGTGCCTGCGTTTGAATGAAAACATCCACATGACTATCAAAGATAACTGCTCGCGCATTGTGCTTCAATGATCTAAGCAAGCTTCCACTGGATACTACAGAGGCAGCATTCTCCTCTTGTTTGCCAGGCCACATGCCCAGAAATACAAAAGCCTGTCTTGAATTTGCTTACAACTTCCATCTTTGCTAGCTCCATTTACCGCTTGGCACTGCTCTGCAGCACAAACAGTGCTCACTTCCAGCACGCTAGCTGTTATGCCAGCAGGCCTAAGAAGATACTGCCCCAAAAGGCACAGCTTCCTTTCAGATCCTTTTCTTTCACAGCACATGGAAAGGATCCAGTTTCATTTTACTTGTATTATAAAAAAGCAAGCAGCAGGAACAGATAAGCTCATAGTAATAAATATACTTTGAAGATAAGGGAAAAAAAACGGTGAAGAGTTCATCTATGCAGCAACTTGGCCAGTCTCAGAGGACTGGGAGAGCTCTGCAGGCTCCAGAGGGAAGTCCTCTACTGCAGCGAGGACTGGCAGGAGTGGCTGAAGTTACTCTCGGTATCTCATATGCATTCATTTAATCTGTATTAAAGCCCTGGAAAGGGATGTCTCCATAGGCTGTAGCCACTATGACTCCTTCAACCACTGCAGCAGCTTTTAGCCAACCTCAAAATACAGTTTTTGGTCTCTTGTGGAGAATAATTACCAGTCCCAGATACACGTACCTGCAACATCTACCTTCTTGCTTTTGCTTTTCTCTTTTCAGCTCAGCTCACAGTAGCAGCAAACTCTATGGCCGGCTCTCTTGTAAACACAGAGGGAAGAAATACCATGGCTACCTTCTAAAACCTGCACGGCAGCTGAACAGAACAGGTTAAGGAAACAGGTTAAAAGAGTGCATTTTCAGAGCACAGAAGTTCTCCTTCCTCAAAGAAGCCTGTAAACATCCCGTGCAGAAAGGCTCTTGGAGGGCACACAGCAAGCACTGACAAATGCCTTGCACAGACCAACAGAAAAAGTCTGGGCTGAGCACCTTAGAGGTACTGACTGCTGCTGGGCTACCGGTGAGTACTGGCACAAGTTCTTCAGCCACTCTTACTAATCCATTTCCTTCCCTTGTTCGGTTCACCTCTGAGATCCCAGAACTTGGCCATACTGGATCCCTTCAGCAAAAAGTCACTTTGAAGAGACCTACACTTCTGGCAACACTGAGTACAGCAATGGGACTTGCCCCTGGTACCACAGAGAAATCGAGGAATGGATGGGCTATAAGATACCTGGCACTACTGCAGATAGTATAAAATAGTATTCTTCACGGAAATCTGTCCAATTTCTGTTTTTCTTAAGAGTGCTAACACTGCTATACTTCACAAAACTACTTCATAGATGTGAGATCTTCACAGTTATAACTCACAACTATAAACTGTTTAACACGAAATCATAACAATAAAAAGTATATCACACTCTAGTACAGTGTGTATGGAGAAAAACCTCACTGCATTAATTGCATTTAAACAGTACGAGTACTTGCTGAGGCACTGGGCAGAGTAACCACTGAACTCAACTGCTACTAAAGCAGCATGCCTTGGGTACACACTGTGATGGGGTGACTGAATCCTGGACACAACCTAGCTCAAGAAATCTCACTGTTAGATCCAGCTGTACACAGAGTGTGTTTCTTGTTTTTTCTCTTCCTCTCATGGTTATATCACGGAAGGTTTTCTATCAAGCTGTTCTAGACACTGGTTTGAAGTCCTGCTATAGCCGCAACTCTGGATACAGCAAGGTCCTTTTAGGACTTCCAGAGAGCTGGTGCATCTCCCTGGGGTCTGTCATCTCTAAGCAAAGCCGACTGAACAGCTGAAGTGGCTGCCAGGGTCGAAGGAGGACAACACCGCAGAGGGCCCACCTTCTGAAAGCGCAGAGACTCACTCAGGAGGGGTGCAGTATGCGGTCCCTGACTTCGAAAGCAATGGTGTCCCAGCACGGCAGTTCCTAATTAAATTTGTTTACCAGAAGGGGAAGAAAAGCCTACCTAATTGTTTCCATTTTTTCATTTTGCATCCTTTTATGACCAGTTGCATCACGTTGTCTTGTGTTTGTGTGTAAGGGAGAGGGGCATGTAATTTGCTTTACCACAGAGGTGCAACGCCTTAGAGAGCACCCCAATGTACTCTTGCAGTTGCCTAAGCCCTGGACTGACAGAAGGGAGACTAGTTCAGCCTTGTACTATGCTGCTCAGGACCAGCTGGACTGGCACCTTGCTTCTTGCATCTTGGGGATCCAGTGGCAACTTGAAATCACTCTCACTGAATAAGTACATGAACAAGTCTTTAAATACAGAATGGCTTAGGTATTTCTCACTATAAAGAGTGTAAGTGACATAATATCTTTCTTTTTTTGAGAGGTGCGTGGGGAAATCAGGCCAAAAAGATTAGGCTTAAAACACATGTATTGACCTTTAGATTTTCATGGTGTTTCTGTGGGCATATAAAGGTGATACATGCTAAGTTAAACCTATGAGACGCCCAGGATACAGCTGACAGAAACTGAGAGCTCTGTCTCCAGGCTTCTGGGTGCATTCCTGTTCTGGATCCGTTCCACGGGAAGGACACAGAACAGAGATCTCACCCTGTGGAAGGCAATATATCTCCTTCAACAAAAATAACAGCAGATATACTTGCCTTTGTAAACCAAGAGCACTCTTCTTTGGGATGCAGCAACTATGTCACAATATAACAAAACAACTTACAGGTTTACGTGTATTTATATATATACACATATTGTATATATTTATGTTTAAAGATGCACACATCCACAAATACAACCATTTAGGAACCTGCTTTTCATGCTCCAAACCAGCTGACTTATCTGGAAAACCTAACACAAAAGGCTTGCTTTAACCCTAAACAGATTACCTATTCATAACCAGAGCCATTCCACCATACACACACTTTCAGAACCCTTTGATTTTTAAATTCCTTTGTTAAGTCTTGCCTTTATTTAGATTATAAAACCTTTGTGGCAATAACTGCTTTTCTTTTCCAGAAGTTTCCAATCCCCTTCTGGCATCTACAAAATAAATCACGGAGATGGAGACTCTGGTTCAGTGTTTCCGAAGCCCTGAGCATAACCTCTTCCAGTGCAGTGCTTAAGAAAGGAAAAGGAAAAAGTATCACTTGCAGAAATATCGCTTCATATGGCTCACTGGAGACGCCTACCTCCATCTGATAACAAGACTTCCTGAATCCCATACAAAGCTGGCAGAGATGCCTTAATATTGACAAGCACAAATTGCACACTTGAGTTTTTGTTAGTTGTTTATGCACTGAATAGCCAGCATTTCTTAAAGCAACAGAGCAGAGATCTCAGGGCCCACAGCACAGCTTTGCATTCCCTCTTTTTCATGGCTGCTCTTTAACTTTTATGAAAACCACCTTTGTTTGGATTTGCCATTCTCCCAATAGCTTTAGCATTCAAAGTTTTTTTAGTTTGAGAAAAATCAGGTAAGGAAATGATCAGAAATATATAACAAATAAATTTGTTTTTTCTGAGTCAAATTGAGCAAAATAGAAGTGAGAAGTAAAACACGTGTAGTCTTTCAAACCATGAAAGGAACAGAAGTCAACAGTTGTTTAAAAACTGATCCTCAGGCAGGCAAACAGACAGAGCTATATCAAAGACAACTGAGCCACACTGATTTCTATCATCTTAAGAGCTACTTCACAGTCGTTTTTTGGAGGCTTTGGTTTTTTTTAAACATGCAGCTCCTCCTTCAAGATAAATATTAAAAACAAATAGGAGAGCCCTCATATCAACACAAACAATAAAGCATCAGCACAAACCTGTGTTTCCTTGGATGTCCTCTCCCTTGGTTAATGCCAGGTAGGAGAGCAGAGTGCAGTTATTGTCCTGACCAGGCGCAGGTGGCTGCTGCAAGGAGGTGCCCGTGAAGACCACTCCCCAGTTCACATGGCTGATATCAGAGCGTGACCTGTTGTGTCCTGGTTTGAACGTGGAGGCTTCCTCATTCTGCACCAGGATGTCATTCACCGAGCGAGGCCTGTCTCTCCTCCGCTGGCAGATACTGAAGATGTTAAAAGCCGCAGTCTCCCCTTCCCCTGACCAAGCAAGGCTGTCAGCAGCTGTTCCCCTCTGCACCATGCACTGGTCTTTGGCAGGGAACGCTATCTGGGCTTTGGTTTCCAAGAGGCCATTTTTGCAGTGATCCCAGATGAGGCTACTTTTGGCTAAGGAGGCGACATTCCTCGGATTCCTGCTCTCTGTTATCCGATCAAATACCTCGTGCCCAACCAGTTCGTGGACCTCCTGTACACCATAGACCTCAGAGGGCTGCACAATCTTTTCAAGCTTAGTATCAAAACTATTGAAAAAGTCTTCAGTCACTTCTAAGGCAGGGCTAATGTCATCAACTTCAAGAGCCTCCATATTCTGTGCTGCCGGTGGGCCTGAAGCGTCACGATGCGTTAAGAAGACATCACATCAACATCCGGAGAAAGAGCTGCTTCACATCTGTCCTTGGCATGACACTAACTTAGAGATGGTGGGGCAAATACGTTCACCAAACACAATCCTTAGCAGTAGAAAGGAACCAAATCAACTCGCTTTCAGATGGGAGACTTAACATCCACTGATCAAGTGGGCTAAAGTCCCTCTATGAAATGAGCTTACAGTGATACAGAGTACCTGTAAAGCAAAGCAAAACGTCACATCAGTAAGGGTCTTTTCCCAGATAAATGTGTTTAATTGCATCACTCCTTCCACAGTCACAGTTCCCTTGATTTTACTTTCTCCTTCATTCAACACCAACACTACTGTGTATGAAGAATCCCTTTGGGGTTTCTGTTGTTCGCTGTGTGTGAACTCTGTGTATTATCACTTCTTGAACTGGAACCTGCAGAGAGCACGATGGAGCACCAGGTAAAGGGGAACCAAAGCAATGCCATTTATTAATCGAGCTTTAGAAAGCTGCACTGAGAGGTGATGCTGACTAACATCACAAACGCAGCCACCTAGGGAATGCTTAGTACAGGTTCCCACGGGGCTGTAAGAAAAAGCTGGGTTAATAAAATAGGCCAACCAGCCTCAAATAGTTTGCATTTTTCCCCTAGACTGCTTGCGCTCCCAATTTTCAGAGACCAACATGAGTTTTACAGCAGCTACTTTGCCTACTTCTCTGCACAAAGAGGACTGTGGTATTTGCCTAATAAATCAATGCTATTAGGCTGCTGCACAGTGCTGCACATAGGGTTTCTCTGTAGAATATCACCGGGAATCTACATGAAACCATGTGGCAACCTAAGCCCCAGAAAGACGGGCATCCTACCAGTAAAACAAAATATATCATATCCTGCACTGACACAAATCTGCAGAATCTTTACTTAGAAGCAGCTGACTGACTGGGCAAAACAAAAGAATAGCAAGGAGCTCTAATGACCCACCTGAGCTCACGCCCGTGAGGAGGAAGCGGGTTTTCTATGCCCTATGGTGCAATAAGAGGGTGTCTCATTGCTGACTTCTGTCACACCAAGCCAGCTGCCTTCTAAACTCCCCCTCTTGAAGCTCCATGCACAGTGCTGCCATGCTCAAGGGAAGTGCATGGTAGGTATGTTTAAATCGGGGAGTCAGTCAAACACGTGCAAGCTCTTGGGACCCAGAGGCTGGGCATTTGTGCCTGCGCGAGAACAGCTCTCACGGCTGCCAGGAGAAATCACGGTACCTAGAGGCTGTACGTGCAAAACAGCCTAAAGTCTGAGATCTGCATCCCAGGTTTGACCACATCAGCTCAAGCCCTAGAAGCAGAAAAGCTTCATTAGCTCAGAGCTCTGCCTAGTCTCTTAACAGAACTAATTAGCCTGGGCAGGGCTGATAATTAGCAGCTCATTAGCTTGTGAATACTGCTGAAGAGCAGGACCCATGAAGATTTACACTTAGCAGGGATGAAAAAACATCTATTAAACAGCACCAAACACAGATAATACTTCTATTTAAGATTATTTTTTTTAATCCAGAACAGTCTATTTGTCTAACTTATATTAGCAAAGTCGTTTAAATAGGCAGCTTTTTCTACAGCAAGCCAGAGGGAGGAAGGAGGCCAGCAGTCCCCCAAGAAGGGGGCACAGAATCCTGTAGCACAAACCAACCCCCTTCTCTGCAACCCTCCCCTGGCTTCCTCCCATCTCTGCTTCAGTTGTGGCCAGCCCTGACACAGTTGTGTTTGAAAGCAACAAGCTCACCCTCCCATCAGCAGTTCAGACCATGATCTCTGCAAACACAACACACCAAGTAAATAATTTTGAAAAGCAATAAACAATCACATACGTAAATCTGGAAACTTCAAGCCTTTACACTGGATCTTTCTCCCTCATCTCTTTGCAAGGATTCCCTTCACTAGCCTCATAGTGAACCAGTACTAGTATCATCTTCGACAAGTAAACGCAGAGTAAGACACTGAAGGTAGAGCCAGAAACGCAGCCAGAGGGCTGAAGAAAACAGATCTGGAGAGGTTTCAAATCAGAACAGTATAGGAACAGACTCTTTGAAAAGATGTGCAGCTGTGCCAGTTGACAGCAGAGGGAAACAAATCCATCCTGGGCACATCTGCGTTGTCAGCTTAATGCAGCACAGAGTTCACTCTTGAAGCTCATTCCTGCCAGCAACCCCAGAACGGTGTTCTGCTCCTGGTACCTCAGAGTCTGGGAGCTCCAGAAACAGGCTAAGGACCATGATTTGGTGCAACCTGTCCAGTCATTTACATCCCCCTATAGCATATCTTTAAAGCAAGAATGAGATTTTGAGGTTACAAAACTGCAACAGGCATTCATTTGAACAAAACCAGCACTAACATAATCATAGGCCAACAGCGAAAGCTACAGGCTGGCCCATACAAAGACGTCTTCCACAGGGGTGAATACAGCAGAGGACACAGCCTTGCTCTCACTCAAGGGACTGGAGCAGCAATCACTCCAGAAGGGCTTGTGATACACCACTGAAGCATTTCGGTGGTTGCAGATGTAATGTTGCTCTGTTCTTCCTTTTAAATCATTAAGAAAGGTGGAAAGCAAGGGGAAAAAATGGACGCTTACATTTAACAGGTTCATTTTTAAATGTTAGAGGCTTCATGGGGCTGTGTGTTTCCTGGATCCTGTGAGACTGGAGCTATCCAGTCTCATGCAGCCAAGTGTGGTGATGCTGAACTACAAACTGATGTCATATCAGTAAGATGCTGAATCACTAGATCATGAGAAGATGAGAGGCCCCTGCATCGCACTGTTCACAAATTGCAGCACTCATACCTTCCAAACAAGTCTGTTTGCCCTGCTCAACAAAGATGTGAAGGGTGACCTCAACGGTGGCAGGCTCATCCCTTCCCTAGTGGAATGAGACAAACAACAGCTAGTGGGGCTCATTCACAGGGCTTTAAACTAGATTCAGAGGGGGAGGGGAATAATATCAACCTTGATCAAGACAAGCTGAGAGCACCTGAAGAGCAGCAGAAAGGAATTCCAGACACTCCAGCTAGGAAGTCAGATTCATCTGGGGCCCAAATTAAATGCCTCCATGCAAATGCACGCAGCATGGGGAATAAACAAGAGGAGTTAGAGATATGTGCACGCCTGCAGGAATATGATCTTATTGGCATCACGGAGACATGGTGGGTGAATCCTATGACTGGAATAGAAGTCGGAATAGAAGGATACGGGCACTTTAGGAAGGACAGGCAGGGGAGACAAGGAGGAGGTGTTGTCCTCTATGTCAAAGACCAGCTGGAGTGCAAGGAGTTCCACCTGGGAATAGATGAGGAGCCAACTGAGAGCTTAGGGATCAGGATTAAAGGGAGGGCAGGGACAGGAGACATAGTAGTGGGGTTCTGCTACAGGCCTCCTGACCAGCAGGATACGGGCACTTTAGGAAGGACAGGCAGGGGAGACAAGGAGGAGGTGTTGTCCTCTATGTCAAAGACCAGCTGGAGTGCAAGGAGTTCCACCTGGGAATAGATGAGGAGCCAACTGAGAGCTTAGGGATCAGGATTAAAGGGAGGGCAGGGACAGGAGACATAGTAGTGGGGTTCTGCTACAGGCCTCCTGACCAGCAAGACTGAGTGGATGAGGCCCTCTACAGACAGATAGGAGCAGCCACACATTCACAGGCCCTGGTCTTCATGGAGGACTTCAGCCACTCCAATATCTGTTGGAGGGACAACACAGCAGGGCAGAAGCAATCCAGGAGGTTCCTGGAATGCATTGATGATAACCTCCTTCTCCAAGTGATAAAGGAACCAACGAGGGAAGGTGCTTTGCTAGACCTTGTTCTCACCAACAAGTAAGGTCTGGTGGGGAACATGATGCTCAAGGGCAGCCTTGGCTACAGGGACCGTGAAATGGTGGAGTTTAAGATTCTTAGGGAGACAAGGAGGGTGCTCAGCAAGCTCACTACCCTGGATTTCAAGCGAGCAGACTTTGGCCTCTTCAGGGATCTGCTTGGTAGAGTATGATAGGATGAAGCCCTGGAGGGAAGAGGGGCCTAGGAAAGCTGGTTAATATTCAAGGATCACCTCCTCCAATCTCAGGAGCAGTGCATCCCAACAAAGAGGAAGTCAGGCAGGAACACCAGGAGGCCAGCAAGGATGAACAAGAAGCTCCTGGACCAACTCAAACACAAAAAGGAAGCCTACAGAGTGTGGAAGCAAGGACAGGTAGCCTGGGAGGAATACAAAGAAATTGTCCGAGCAACTAGGGATCAGGTTAGGAAAGCTAAAGCCCTGATAGAATTAAATCTGGCCAGGGACATCAAGGGCAACAAGAAAAACTTCTATAGATATGTCAGTGATAAAAATAGAATTAGGGAAAATGTGGGCCCTCTCCAGAAGGAAACAGGAGACCTGGTTACCCAGGATATGGAGAAGGCTGAGGTGCTCAATGACTTCTTTGCCTCAGTCTTCAATGGCAAGAGCTCCAGCTGCACCGCCCAACTCGCAGAAGGCAAAGGCAGGGACTGGGAGAATGAATAACCACCCACTCTAGGAGGAGATCAGGTCCAAGACCATCTAAGGAACCTAAAGGTGCACATGTCCATGGGACTTGATGAGATGCATCCACAAGATCTGAGGGAACGGGCAGGTAAAGTTGCTAAACCATTATCCATCATATTTGAGAAGTCATGGCAGTCCGGTGAAGTTCTCAATGATTGGAAAAGGGGAAACATAGTCCCCATCTTTAAAAAGGGGAAAAAAAGAAGACTTGGGGAACTACAGGCCAGTCAGTCTCACCTCTGTGCCCAGCAAGATCATGGAGCAGATGCTCCTGGAAACTATGCTAAGGTGCATGGAAAATAAGGGGGTGATTGGTGACAGCCAACATGGCTTCACTAAGGCAAACAGTGCCTGATAAATTTGGTGGCCTTCTATGATGAGGTTACAGCGTTGGTGG